ATGATCATAAATACAGTATGTTGTGTATATAGACTCATCAGAAGTGGGGATCTCACTACACATGTATGCGTGCTCATATTCTATGTATTTACACACATGCAAAACCAAAGAGAAGTGGTCACTCTTGGCGTGTATTCATATGCAAATGAAAACTCTTGGGGCATATGCACAAATGAACCACTGACACCGCGGCACACACCTGTTTGCTCAGTCACAACACACCCAGGACACGACACCCGTAGACAGCCTCCTCCAGCGCCGCCTTTCAGCGAGCAGTCGTTTCTTTTATTGGCTGATTTGAGTCCAGATGTTCCTAACTACCTAACTAGCAGTCAATTCATTTAACTAGCAGCAATAGGGAGAGACTATTCTCTCGAAAGCACTTTGCTCCACATTCCCTATTATATTACACCTGATTGCATGAAGCGGTATCATTAAAGATAAAGACTGTAAAAAAAAAAAAAGTGAGCGCATAAATGCTGTTTTTCCCAGTAAATTCCTGTCTACTTAATTAGTCTGCGAGGCTGAGCTTCAGATTTCGCTGTTCGATGGAAGCGCTGTTCTCTGCGAGCCCGTCCCTCACCCACCCCTCTGCTGGCTAAAAATCCCCGCTCTGCTCTTCAATTTCGCAAAGTGCAATTTTCATTATGCTCCACACTCCATCGCAGAACGCCAAATCAGAAGCAAAACAAAAAGGCTCGCGTTGACACATTAAATGTTTGAATTAAATCTCAGGCAGCCTTTCTGAGATGCTGACAAAGACTACTTGGCTCTGCCTGTTGCCTCACTTCTAAAGTGGCACAGTGTGTATACCAACATACTCAGAGTGCTGTGCTGCAGTGTGATTATGAAAGAATGTGTTGTGCATAGATAAAAGGCGTCCTCCCCCCGGAGCTGTTGCACTGCTCCTGAGATGACACCGCTGTCCGTCGCCTGCTCTTGTATGCGCGCGGCGTCCATGTCTAATGCAATCCCAGCGTGACTAAAAGAAAAAATCAAGCACAGTGGAGTGAGCACAGGTGTCACTGCAGCTGATTTGGCTGCACAATGTGCTCGATATTCACCCACAAGGTGAGAAGATTAAGCTTCTTTTAAGAGTGATACGATGAGTAGAAAGGTGAAAGGTGGTGGTAAGGGTTTGCACACGATGCATCATGCAAAGCCAGACTCTTTCTCCTAAATATACCTAAAAAGTGTTTTTTAAAGTGAATAGACAGAATAGACATTTACAAAAGAAAACACTTGATCCAAAGCCTTTTGCAGTTACCCACCATGAGCTCAACATATCCTGTAAGAGATTTGGATGTGAGTGATATTCAGTGGGAAGCCTTTTGTCTCTTGATGGCCTTTAGCCGCCCCTGGCTATACAAGCAGCTCCGGCTAAAACTCCCCGCCACAGAGCTCCGTCTCTCTCTTTCTTTATGACTAACTCGTTACACCAGCATCAGAGTTTAATGACAAAATAGCCCTACGCTCATGAAACCTCTCGCACGCCTCTCAGGGGCCGCATTGTTTAAATTAACATCATTATGAGACAGGAAGGAATAAGGCTGTCACAGATGCATGATAAAATATGCTGTGATGTACACGGTTACATCTAACGAGCAGAGAAAAAGAAAGGAAAAATAATTAGCACAAGAACCGGAAGCATCCCCAGAGCCGAGATTACACCGGTGAGCATCGCTCTTAATTAGGGTAGATCTTTAGTTAATGCTTTATTCCGTCCCCTGCTGCAGCCTTCTTCTTTTTTCTCATCACGTCTCTCCATCTTCTGTCCCTCAGTGAACACCATTCCCCCTCTCCCATCCTCACATTGCTTTCTGAGTACAAACAGCAATTTTTGGCCACTTGGAGACCACTCAGACATGAATGCGCAGTACTACATATTGATTTATTTTTGAGAAGGACTTGACCCAGGAGGGCATGCTGTTGAGAAGTGAGAGTGAAAGGATATTAGGTCAGTGTGTGTTTGTGTGTGTGTAATGCAAGCAAAACTGCCAGGGATGCTTTCTCTTCTGAACTGCTCTGACTTTGTCTCAGTAGCTGCAGCGAGACAAAATCAAGTTCACTCTTATTGGTCTGCCTCATATATAATGTCTCATTTTTGGTTTTAGAGCTTCTGATTGGGCCTGAGCTTATTACTGAGCGAAATCTTTTAAGAAGAAGGCAAAAAATGTGACACAAGATCATGTGAAAGAGCTGCGTGTCACATCTCTCTTACTATGAGTGGTAGCTCTGTTGTTGTGGACTTTGAGGTGCATTGCTGAGTGGTGAGTCATAGCGATTGCTTCACCTCCCCACTTCTGTTTCCGCATTGTGTCAGCTAACCTGCTCCACCTGCTGGCCAAACATTTAAATCCACAGTGCGGATGCAAGGATGCGTGTGCCATAAACACACAAAGCTTGAAATGCGGTGAATAAAGAGAAATATGCTGCGTGTGAATGCTGCTACATTAACATCTGCTTATTACAAAATCCTGACATTTTAAGGCACGTGTGATTTTCTTCCTTTAATCGGTGGAATCACTAAAGAAAAAGGATTGCGTCTTAGAGTTAATCACAAAAGAGGATTTTCAGTTATATTGTGTGATTGAACAGCTACGCTTAAATCAGAGTGAACAAGATGTGATGTACAAAGAAGTCGGTGCCACTTTAATCACAAGATGGTGCTGTTGATTCGGGGGAGAAGAGACCATTTGCTCTGCAGCCAAGCGTGACTGAGTTTTTAGGCGATGACAGATGGGTTTGTCACCTGTAAGGCTCCCCATCCCTTTTCCTTCTCGTAATGTCTGCCATCTCTCTACCAGATGACCCCTGTGATCTGAAAGCCGAGAGCAGCCCCAACATGGACAACGAGATAACCGCCAAGGAGCGAGGAGTCCTGGAGGAGAACAACGAGAAAGAGGAGATGGACCAGGAGAGATCTCAGGAGGAAGAGGGGAAAGAAAAGAAACTGAAAGAGGAGGAAGGTGAAGGGGAGGAGAAGAGGAAGAAGGAGCAAGAGTCGCTGACTGAGGAGCAGGAGCTGGAGGAGCTCAGGGCGCAGGTGCTGCAGCTGCTGCTGGAGCTGGAGGAGGCCAGAGAGACCTCCAACAAACATCAGGAGAGCTTTCACGAGCTGCAAGGTGAGAACTCTACCCTTGAATACCTCTAGGACTGTATCCCTTAACTGTAATATGTATGTTCATTATTTAATACCTTTAATTATTAATTTATTAACATTAACATTAAATCATCTCCCATAAAAATCAATGCAAATGCACTAATCATCCATCAACATGCATTAATTCTGTAACATTTTTTCTGGCATTTATAGAATATGCTGACTGCCATGATAGTCCCTGTTCTAACATTTTTATCTGTCATGTTCAGTCACAAGTGGAATCGGTAACAAAAGCTGAATTAAAAGCACGTCACATTTGAACACACGTAGGTAATAAAACACAAATAGCTGGGCCTCTTTCACCGATTTCTCTTCATAATATAATTTTTCCTTCTTTTAATTCTGGGACAGCTTTGCAAAAAGCAATGCTACACCAAGCGCTTGGCTTAGAAATGAATCTACATTTTGCAATTAACCATCATTTTTCAAATCTGCAAATTGTTTGCCAGCGCCGCTCCCGAATCGCATTTGCAAAAGCAATAACCCTGGGCTTTCATTCGTTACATTTCCAACACATGCATATTCAGTGAGTGGAAAAGAAAAATAATGGAAATAGCTAAGACCAAGCAAAGTTGAAAAAGAAAAAAACCTTTTCATTTAATTGCGGCTAAATTTTCTGTGAGCTAAAAACGCTACCTAACATTTTTTACTAACCTTGTTTTTGGCCTTTCCCTCGCTGTGAAAAAAACTCCATTTGTGCTGTAAGACACATGATTATAAAATTCCTGTTACAATCTCAGCCTGAATTTTCTTCAGAGTACTTTTATATAAATGTTTGCACTATTTTTTCCCCTATTTCTACACTGATCAGTAGAAAAAACCCTCTCTTAACTTTGTACCTGAGGCATCCTTGTGAAATTTTGTTAGATGCATATATAGAAGGCGAACAGTTTATATGTGGTTACTGACAGTCTGTTGCTCATAGTCATTAAAAAGAGCATAAGCTCATACCTTAGAAATGATGAGCATAATGTTCAGAGACACTAGCAGTGACTAAGGCCTTGGGTATGAGGTTACACTGAGCTCAGTGTGTGTGCGCGTTTCTGAGTGTGTGCATTTAACAGTGTGTCATTCTTAGAGACATAGCATGGTGAGCTCAGCAGTTTGTCTGGCAGCGGGGGGAACCATTCCTCAGACAACTGCGCTCACACTGCGGGAAGTTTCTAGACGGAGTGTCCTAAACCTCAACCAGAATTCAGTATTGGTCAAGACCCTCTGGGAACAGTCAGCTGTTCGGTGCGTTGGCAGCTGATGCATGCAGATGCGGTTGTCTCGGTTTCGGGTTTCTACCCCCACACCAGTAATGATGTAGCTCGATGAATGGATTAATCTGAGGGCGTTAAAAACCAAATTTAAAATGGAAAAAGTTATAAATAATATTGATAAGACTCTACTAACTGTAGCTTAAACATTATGAAAATAAAAAAGTGAGATTCTACATCCATGGAAGTGGCACTGTGAGGTGATACTGAACAGCTGATGTTCAGCAAGTAGATTGTTTATGAATTTCATGAGCTTGGTAAGAACATTCTAAGAAGCGACTGGTGAGTTTGGTGAAATGGCACAATGGCCTGTTATGGAGGGCTTCCTGTGTAGTCAGTGGTTATCTGTCTTTTTTAAGAAGTCACCTTCCGCTGAGAGAGGCCCAGTGCAGATAGATGAGACCTAAGTGACCCCAACCCTCTAAGAAGAGGCCAGCCCTTATCTTAGCTATAGCCAGTGACTGGCTTGCTCCTCATTTCAAGCTTATCACAGTCTTTTCCATTTGGTATGATAGTTTAACCGAACAAAATGTCACAATGCTAAGCTCCCTGTTTAAACACAAAACATGTTATATTGTTAAAGCTAAACTGAATCAAAGACTTCTTTCAGTCACTGAACAGGACATAAGGAAAGCTAAACAGTGAAGCAGCAGGTGACCAAAAAACAGGCCGACAATGTCTCAAAATCTCCAGTGACAAATGACAGTAATCCAGCCCCAGTGATAATCACATGCAGTTCAGAGACCAGCACTAACAAGCAGGAATAAGAGTCAGTAAAGAATTTCAGGGTTTAACTGAGTTTTCTGTATTACAAGGATCATTCATAATGAAGTATATTGCCAGGCAACTTACGCTATACCTACCTATCCTATTTTCAAACTTGTACTCATTGACCTTATATAAAATTTGCAAGCAGCCTACTTACCAGGTTGAATTATGTGTTTATATTTACTCTCACACCATTTAATGCAACCGGGTTGCTGCTTAAATAGTAAGGCTAAAACTGGCTTATACAGAAAAGAAGCAGCTACTCACATTTAGGCAGCGCGTGAATTCAGACGTATTTTTAGTCAGATCTTCCCGTGCACATTTTTTCCAACTTTCCTCCCGGCTTTAAATAGAATTTATTCAGGCCGTCTCACACTTTTCCAGTCTTGCTGACCACCAAATCACTTAAAGCGCATACACATGCTAGTACAGCACTTTTCCTATCACACACACTCACACACCTCTGCTTTGGCTGCAGCAACTGTGCATTTGGCGTGTATGATGAGTTTTCTAATTTTATAGTTCGCTCTTATTTTGTAAAATATTCCTGCGTGAGGCCAGCAGACTGGTCACCTTCTGCCAACGCCTTTTTATGTAAATAGATTGGAAAACTCAGGGTTGATAGCCACCTTTTGCGTGACTGCATAGCAGGAACCCAAACGTTGGGGTATGAAAATATACCCCGGGTCTGTTGATCTTGCTTCATATTACAGACCGCAGGTGTTGGTGATCAGGCGCCTGGAGGGGTGCCGCAGATAGACCTGAAACACTCTTCTAAGCAGAGGCCTGAAGTCAGTGGGCATAACAGGCACTTTACGTGTTTAGATTCTTACGCAGGACACAACACAACGAAGGAGGCATTTGATCTGCCATTTGATCTGTAGATAACTCACTGCCATTAAGTACACAAGCCACGAGAAGGCTAAGGCATCCTCCAGCAGATGGTCCACCCCCCACAGAGACCCTGATCTTAGCAACATGGAGTCACCCTGGGATTACACAAAGAGACACAAGCAATTAAGGAATGGGGCAACTTTTCCAAAACACTTGGAGCATCCTACTTGTTTCCAAGAATGTGTAGAAGAAGTTGTACTAATGGAAAGGTGCACCAAACACTGATTAAAAAAAAACATTTTTACAATTAAATTGTACTTGTGAAAGTGTGTGTGCATGTTTTTTTTTACTAGTATCTTAAGTCACTCTAAGTGTTTATGGTGGCTGTAGCTCAGGTGGCAGAGCAGGTCAGCCACTAATCGGAAGGTCGGTGGTTCGATCCCAGGCTGCCTTCTAGCTGCATGACAAATATCCTTGGGCAAGATACTAACCCCATGTTTGCCTACTGGTGGTGGTCAGAGGGCCCGGTGGCGCCTGTGTCCGGCAGCCTCGCCTCTGTCAGTGCGCCCCAGGGCAGCTGTGGCTACAATGTAGCTTGCCATTGCCAGTGTGTGAATGACTGAATGTAGTGTAAAGCGCTTTGGGGTCCTTAAGGACTAGAAAAGCGCTATACAAATGCAGGCCATTTACCATTTTATAATTTAGCCATCGATCCATTATCTTCCATTATCTTTATTGCGGATTGGATGGAGCCTATACACCCTGGACAGATCGCCAGTCTGTCGCAGGCCTAACACATAGAGACATCTCACCATTCAGCTTACATTACCCCATGGGTAATTAACCCAATTAACATAAGGGAGGTTTCTTCCTGTTAAAAGGGAGTTTTTCATCCCCACTGTCACCAAGTGCTTGCTCATAGGGGGTCATCTGATTTTTTGAGTTTTATCTCTATTATTTTAGGGCCTTGACCTTAGAATTTAAAGCACCTTGAGCCAATTGTTGTGGTTTGGTGCCATGTAAATAAAACTGAATTGAATGGACATATGATTTGATTTAATAATACGCTCTCGCTATCCTTCTAGCTCCTCTTGCTGCTATATAAAAGCCATCAGTGAATCTGCCTGAAGGATGTGGCAGAAAACATTTGGCATGAGAAATACTGATAGGGACCAAAAATAAACAGAAATTCAAAAATAGCAGCAAACCAAAAGCTGTGAAACTGGCAGCCAAAACACTCTGTGTTATTTTTCTACTGCTATCTTTTAAGTTTAGAAGAGAATTTTCCAATGAAAAGGATCATTAGGAACTTGCATACCAGAAAGAAAAATCCTGCTAAGTAATATTGATGGTCTGCTCACGTACAGTTCATTGCTTTTAACAGAAGCAGACATACAAAGCTGCTTGTGTCATCCAGTCATGCCTCAAGGTTGAACAGCTTATCAAGTTGTCATCTTTCCTCTTTTGGCCTGCTGCACTTTTTCCCTCTTATCTCACAACCCACTCCTGACTCCCCGTCTCTCCTCTCCAGGTCTGTTGGAGGATGAGCGTCTGGCAAGTGCCCATCAGGCTGAGGCATTCACACGGCAGATCCAGAATCTGCAAGGTATCAACACAATATGCCTAAAGATCTCTAAAATAACATTTTGTGTCATTTTTTCCCCCTTGGATTAAATAAATCAAAAGTTTTACATCCCTCAGTGCTTAAGGTCTCTGCAGATTTTGATCTTCAAGCTGCTAATTTATTAGCTTGACTTCTGTTTCATGCTACCACTTATGCAGAAGTTTTGTTCTCAAAGACAGACAAAGAAAATCAGAAGGGAAAAAAATGTTTTTTTTAAAGTTGCGAGGTGGAGAGAACTCTCCATTCCTGAAACGACTAAACTAATAATCCCAACCTGACCCTGAAGAAAAAGCATGCCAGTTACCATCAGTTACATCAGCTCCTCTTTCAAACAGCACCCGCACAGACACACACACAGGCGTATGCAAGTGCACACCAACCACCTACACACACAAACACACACAGGCCCACTACTGCAAAGCCTCAGGTGAGATCATACATATACACCCATACTGACACTGCAGTCTCACCCACACATCTGCCATAAAGAAAACCTAACGTTCTCCTCCTCCTCCTCTTCCTCTTCCCCCGCTTGCCACAGCCCAGCTGCGCTCTGTGCAGGAGGAGATGTACAGCCTGGAGGAGGAGAAGGAGAGCGAGCTGGCCGAGGCCCAGGAGGAGCTGCGCACGGCTCAGGAGGAGGTGCTCCTGCTCCAGCAGGCCGCGGAGGAGGCAGCGGCGGAGAGGGAGAACGACATCGCCTCACTGCAGGAAGAGCTGTGTCGCCGGCGGGCCGAGCTCCAGCGCCTAAGTGAAGAAACCCAGGAGTACGAGCTGGAGATAACCACGCTCAGGGCCGAAATCAGCATGAAGAGCCAGCGCAGGGAGGCCGAGAGGAGAGAGGGTGAGGGAGGGGGACAGATGCAGTCAGAGAAGAAGTGACGTTGCATCACGTGTGTCTTATTAGGTTCTTAGTTACCCAAGTCATTGTAGTCTTACAAACTTGAGAAAAAAAGGCGACTGGTCATCTTTAAGTTTGTGAATTTAACCCTACTAGGCATTAAATCCGCCTTTTTCCCCCATCTTAACTCATGTGACGTAGGACATGAGAAGTAGTAGGTCAATGACCACCTCTCACAGGAACAACCCCCGGTAGGGGTTAAATACCTGGGACTCTTCCCGTTTTGTTTTAAGAAGTACTGAAGCCTCTTGAATTAGAGGTGAAAACATCTTCACAAGCTTAAAAATAAAGTTTTCTTCTTTCTTCAAGCTTTTAAGTTTAGCACAAAAAGCCTGTGATCAGTCTTTGCACGAGGATGGTCTCGTTCCCTCACAGCGTGTTAGTAAACTGCAGTCAAGAACATCTGTCATTGGCGGGTTCAGTAAATGCTACAAAATAGGATTGCTGGGAGTTGAAAAGGGAGTGACATGTGTGTATATTCAGAATACCAGGGACATGAGGTCACGACAGGGAGGGACCCACACTTCCAGCGCATGATGTCACCGCTGGGGTCTGGAGCTGGGTGGGACCGAGGGTGGAGGGAACATCACCCAAAATGCACAAACATTATTGGTGGAAATGGCTTTTCTGCTTCAGTTCTTGCACATACTAAATCATTTGTAAGCCTTAAAGGAACTGCCAGTCGGATTTTGATACCACTGAGACAGCGCTGGCATGGATGTGTCATCCTGCTGCCAATCCAGGCTAAGCTAACCAGCTGCTGGCTGTCGCTTCATCTTCAGCAGACAGATATGAGATTGTTCCAAAGCTTCTCGTGCTCTGACAAGAGAGCGGATGACTAAAATTTACGTTTTACACTGTCTGTACTATAAAGAGGTGTAGGAGTATACAATGTCGTTTTAAACATCCTCATCTGTGCCCTTCTTGCTCCGACAGGTGACGTCGACCTGCTAAAGGAGGAGTGCCGTATGCTGAGGGAGGAGTGTCAGACCCTGAAGGAGGACAACAGACGGCTCTCCGAGAGGCTGCAGCTGCTGCAAAGACAGAGGACATGGTGAGAGGTCAACGACTGCTCGCTCGTCAGCTGTGCTCACTGGATCAGCTGGAGGGGATACCCTCTGGTATCACTAGCTCCCATCACAGCACCAACCACCTGTTTAAGCACTTCAGTAAAGTTGTAGCATGATATGAGGGATTACGCATAAGCAATTAAGAATTAAGAATGCCTTTGAATTGTAAGGTTGTTCTGTGTGATGAGCATTTGCCAATATTGTCTGGCCATTTACTGGGAAATTGAAAAGAATAGTTGTTACTGTGCTATAGGGTGTAAATATTTTAACTTCAGGTTTAAATGTATGTGTAGCTGAAAAGCAGGTTGTCACCATTTGATATCAACATTTCTTCTAAGGGTTAACACATCCTCCCATCCTCCCGTTTTTACAATAAGAAATAAAAAAATGGTAGAAGCCGGTTAATTTGGAGCCGCTTTTTGATCTCGCAGCTCTAGCGTCTACCTGTCGCTGAAAGAGGAAGATGCGGGGGAGGGCACAGAGGGAAAGGAAATGGAGACCAGCTCAGATGAGGTCATGACAGAGAGCTACATGACCATGGCCCAGTCTGAGAACTGTCGTCTGGTGGACGCCTCCATCCAGAAGAACATCTCATTCGATGGGAAGCCGATGACGCCGACGAGCTGGACCGGAGGGATCGGGGAGATCTTCTCGCTGAGAGACCAGCTGAAACAGGCTGAGGAGAAGGCCTCACAAGTTCAGAGAGAGGTACAGTGCCTTGCTTTGCTAGAAAGTGGCACAGATTTGGTACACATTATTCTTCTGATTCATTTGGCCTCTGTGTCCTCCAGTGTGAGGGTCTGAAGATGGAGCTGCAGGAGTTGCAGGTACTGTATGACAGCAGTCAGAGGGAGAGGGCAGAGCTGGAGGAGGAGCTGCAGCGCTGCAAGGCAGAGCTGGAGAAGCTGTCGGGGGGGACGCAGGTGAGGAACCACAGAGCTCAAGCCCATCACGGGACAAACTATAATAAAAATATAGCGCCGGCATCAGCAGAGCAACTGATTGAAAAGCTGCACAGCTTTCTGTGATTACTGATAATATATTTAGTAGATATTTATCATCGCTTTCTGAACTTATATATCTCCTATATTTTGTTTTTTTTAATGATATGAATTTATTCTAAAAGCAATATTCCAGTTACACAATGAAGAAAATGTAAAGTTGTTTTTGTTGTTGTTGTTGTTTGCAGTCACACTATCTACTAACACATAACGAACCTCACATTGCTCCTCACTGTATCCTGTGTCTGTTGAGCCCACTTTTTTATGTGTCCCATACTGCAGCGATACATGTGTTGATATGAGCTGACCTGGCCTGTCAGCCCATATCAGTATTTACTGTGTGCTTTGGGCTGGGGAACGTTCCCCCCACTGTGTCTGTGTCCCGACGGCTCAGTTAGAGCAATGCTTAAATACTGTTGTTTGACAAAAACACAAAATCTCTAATAAAACGCATTCAGGCGCCTTGGAGCTAATGCACTTTATACCACTGAAGCATATAAGCAGACTTGAGATCTTTTTAACACAGTAAATGTAATTAAACTACTTTTTTTTTTTCTTGTTTAGACTTTTTATTTAATACCGGACTGGTTTCTCTTCCTTCTAATAAAGTTACATATGAAAAATCTAAATGAAAAGGAATGAAACTGAACGCAATTCATGCCATATTCATTTAAAGCGCGACTATTCCTACATAATAAGTACTTGAAAGCATCCAAAATGGTTTGTACATTGAACTATGAGTTATAACTTCTCAGTTCAATGTATTTTTCATGACCTCTCAGCCTTCCAGGTGCCACTGAATGAAAGCATAGGTTGTGATTTCCATTGCAAAGCTCCCGAGGAATTAGAATGCACTGACAGTAGAACAGTCTGTGCTTTCACCTGCATTGCCATGCAAAGACAGTCGCTACTCTGAAAGTCAAGTATCAAGTTTTAAAAAAAGCGCATAAAAACTCAATGAAAAATCAAAACAAAATATGATCCAAAAATTTGGATCATATTTTTGCGATGACTGAAATCATCCAGTGAAAACAGAACTGTGTTTTGTCTGCAACAGCCATGATGAGATGTCTCCACATCGTGTCAAACTGTCTACCCGTGCCTGTCTCTGATGCTGTCCTTGTTCTCTGAATGTCCATGACCTCTCAGCCTGTTCGACGACAAATGTCTTACGACTTAAAAACAAATTAATTTCAAAATGAGGATAGAGAGACTAATACACCTTCATATGCTAAGTCCATCCTGCGTGCCTTTCCTTCTTTTTCTTTTTTTTTTGCTAGCATGATATCACACGCAGCCAGGAAATGCCACACGGGACTGCTCACGCATACTCACACTGAGTTGTTGTTTATGTCACTGTAAAGTTATGCATTGTTTGTTTAATAGGAAATATTAAATCACTCCATCACAGTCCTTCCCCCCGTATATCACAGCCACAGGCCATTTCACACTTAGAATTGAGTGATTTGTGTAGTGTAGTGGTGGTCCATTTGTGCCGTTGTCACACATCCTTATCTGTTTGTTTTATTATTTGGCTACCTCGCTCCATCATTCATTCATCCCCTTCATTGCCATGGTCCTTGTGTTTGTTTCTGTTCCCTCCTCAGAGATTCATCCATCCGTCTGAGCACGCTGTTCTCTCCATCCCCTTCATAGGAATGATTGTAATTGTGGCTGTGGTCTGGTGCTGGTTGTCGGAGCTGGCGTCCCAGAGAGCAAGGTATGGGAGGAGCTTATATCTGTCTGAAGCGTAATGCTACTTATGGTTCTCGCAAAATATACTATGGATTAGTTCACCTAAATTACACAAAAAAAAATTCAATAATATGCTAAACAAAAGAAAAACAAGAGCACTCAGAGAGCGTAATCCCCCCTCCCCCAGAATGCAAGGGCTATACTAAAACTTTAAGGTTTTATGATGTCTTATTACAACATGCTGACATCAGCCTGCTTTTATAACAACAACTCTGATGTTTGACCTCAGACAAGGAAGCTTTACATATTAAAATGGTGCATTTTATTATCTTTACCCAGATGATTGGAGCAGAACTGGCTGAAATCTTTGGCTTTTAAGCTGTAAAAACTTTTACAGATTTTAAGATATATTCATGCGGCGTGTCATTTGCAAAACTTTAAGCCGTCATTGTGATGTTGTATTGAAAAAATGAAACATGTTGTACAGCTCTCTCCATGCCCTTTCATATGATATCTTACTCATTATAGTTTCATGAAATTTTTTTCAAGGTCAGCTTTGAAATCCTGGAGTTTCAAAGTGTTTAGCTGGCTCGCTGTGAGCTGTCTGGAGATGGGAGGGTTGCATGTCTAATTTGCTGACAATACAAAATTGGGTCAATAATAAATAAGCAAGTTTTTATGTGTTAGAGTCCTGACTTCAGCTGAGAGAAGGAAGAGGAAGAGCAATATGGGGAAATAAGGGAGGAGAAAGTGCAATGGTGGAGGAGGAAAAAGACATAAGGAAAATGAGGTGATAAAAATAAACATGTACAAATGTTAAATGGTCATATGTAAATATATATATTTGGATATTTTGGATCTTGAAATTAAAACTAACTTGCAAGGAGTACTACATAGAAAGTGATTAGGTGAAATGGCGCTGTCTGTCTTAGCCACTGTACTAAAGAAGGCAGGGCTCGAAAAACTACTTAAAACTACTCTCCTTTATTCATAAATTGTGTAATATAACAACAGTCCACGGAATGATAGTGCATGGCTAATAAACCACGCAGCTGACGAATGATCTTTGGAGGTATCAAAGATGAAATTCAAAGAATACAAGCATGTCCACACCTCGTTATGTTGGGAATCAGGTGTTTTCAGTCCCATTGCAAAGCAAATCGAGCAATGCAGTCTGGCTTTACAAACATTTGTGAAAGAATGGGCCAATCTAAAGAGCGTCTACTGTTAGATATGTAAAGTTACAGAGCAGGGTCAACAACACTCTGCTGGCTCAATAACTGCAGAGCTCCAAACCTCCTCTGGCATTAATGTCAGCACATAAACTGCACCAGGAGCTTCATGGGATGGGTTTCCATGGCCGAGCAGCTCCTGTAGATATAAAGTGTTGATAGCCTAGTGTTTTTAGTACATACAGTCAGAGGTAAATATGTTTTTTCTGTTATTTTGGTGAACTAATCCTTTATTTGTCAGGAATCTTTGTGTTTAGTTGTTATGGGAGAATATAAACTGAAGAAATTCCAAATACGGCCTTTAAAATCTGAAACACACTAAAAAACAGATAATATGAACCACTGCCATCTGTGCACCATTTATAAAAGGTCAACATGGGACGGGTGGGCAGTTTGGCAAAACTGAAAAACAAGAAATCTTTGAGCTTCACTGAATGAATAATGTAAAGAAAAAGCTCACCATTTTATTGGGAAATATGATTGACCACTTTCTTGCCAAGATTTAAATGAGAAGATTGTTACCATTTATTTGTGTCAAATGTGAAACTACAGCCAAATGATATTTAGCTTAAATTAGTATTTATTTTAAAATGTGGTTTGTAAATAGTGAGCTCTGGAGGTGCGAGTTGGTGTTTCCCTACCCAATTACCCCCTGATTTGTTTGCACTGACATTAAATCAGTAACAATCTTCTCATCTCAATCTCTGAGAGAAGCAATTGTGTCCATTTCCCAAAACGTGGAACTATTCTTTCTATAAGACATCTAGTCTGTATCTATTGGTGACAGTTAACCTCTGCTGACTCCTGACACTCTTCTTTTCGTGTCTTCCCTCAGGGGAGTGAGGTAGGTTGGAGCTCCATTGTGACTATCACTGCAGCCACAGCTGTGCTTCTAGTGATGACTAGCTTATTGAGAGCCCTCATCCGATTCTGACTGGATGGGTAACAACCGCACGGGACGGACGTCTGCTTCAGCCCAGCCCTCACGTCTCCTGCCATGTCTATATCGAGTCACCCGGAATGATCTAAATGTGATAGAAGTGACAACTTTGTAGTAGAAACACCTACGGGGAAACCTTCATCTCTAACGAGACGGTACTACAAGCACGCACAGGCTGAGAAAGATGCGCCCGGCATCACTCAAGGCTGAAGACGACAATGACAATGAGCTGACCTGCAGACAGTGCGCACAAGGACTGTCCTTTAAATGTATGCTAGTGCTGTGTCATTCCTCTTCTGTGTCAGTGAATATGATTTTTTTTTTCTCTTTTAACAATGTGACAAATTATGTTTTTCAGTAGTATGTACTAAATTGGTTTTAGTTTATTTAACCATTATTTATTTATTTGCTATTTAAACTGTTGTTAATAGGTGTCTCTGATCATAAGGACAAGCGTTTGATTTGGAGTAATGCGCTGAAACCCCCAAAAGTGTACATAGCAGAAAGAATTGTTAACAATCAGTTACTCACCCCCCCACCCACCCACCAAAAAAACAATGCAATATATGCATGAACAAAAGTTAACAAGTCTATCATATCTATTATTGTGTTACTTTGCTTAAATTAGATATTAGACAGCCTTCATTACAAAGTCTGCAAGCACAAGAAGCCTGATTGTGGTCAGCCCCTCTTCCCATTCCCCTTAATTTATCAATGAACCAACACACCAGGAGGTTAATGCAGAGCCACTTCACTTTGAAATACCCCAACAATATGATTTCTTGTTATGTACCAACATAATGAAGCAGCGTTAGGAGCAAATCCTGGTGGGAAGGGTCTATGTAGTCATTGTTTCGTATACTTTAAGCTAATGCTAATGTCATTGTGAAGGAATTCATGTTCTTTTTCCTCTGCAAGGCTTTAAACTGGCTTTTGAGTGTTTTGTTAGTGATTTTTTTAGGCGACTGCAGATTGTTCAAGGTACACGGTGTGAAAATGTCGACCTTCAGCTTTACCTACTACATGCTTTATGGGGGGAAAAACCCCTGCAGGTCTGATTACTACCAGTTGATATCCAGATATTGACAGATTATAACACTGAGGCAGTGAAATGAGCGAGCACAGCTATTTCCGAAGGCATTACAGACACAGTTATGGGTCCAAAATATGTAAATAAGAAAGTGTCAGAAAGAGTTAGGCTAAGCATCAGTTAGGAAAATTATGTATCTATGGCAGGACTCTGTTTACATTTGTGATATATGTTATTTTCTTGGTGAAAAATCTTTGAGAACTGAAAACGGCATGCTAGAAAAACATAGAAGCACAAATATATAATTTATGTTGTTTATGTGGATTCTTTGTATTTCATGTATATAGATGTGACATATAGTACTATGGGAGAGATATTTCTTAAATCCATTTGTACTAGCTTTGTAGAAAGTCTACTCTATTTTGAAAGAGCATCGTATATTTGATAGCCGAAATATATGTCATTTTAATGTTCATTATTTATGGTGATGTCATTCAGGAGGATTGATAGCATCGCTTACCATTTTCAGTACCTCCGTGTCTAGAGGTGGTGTAGCCGTTGCATGCGTTTAGATTGCAGTTGACCGTAGGTGCCAGAAAGTGCAACTCCTGTTTCTTAAAACCTGTTGAGTTTTAAGAAAGTGGAAGTGTTTTCTGAAGCCTCAACCTTCATTAGCAATGCCTAACAATTTTTATTTCTGCATATGCACATAGGCTAAGAAAACAGAAAATGTGCCGCTGGACTGCAAATGTTGTCAGTGTCTGTTGGATCAATCGTACAATAGAAATGGAATTGCCATTACTTGCATTAGTATAGAATACTGTCTGATTCGATTCATGTGTCACTCTGAGTTTCCTTCATGAATACTGACTTTTATCATAGTTTCACGAGCTTCTGTAACTGCAGTGTTTCTCGGCTTACTGCTTTACATTTGGATAGCATTGTTGTTTTCAATATAGTTGTGGCTATTTTGTTACCCGGAGGTCTATTTTGCACTGTACACGACTTGAGAAAATAAATATACCCGACCCACATGATGTCTGAGAGCTTTATTTTTTCCTGGGTGGTGGCCTCACCCGGCCATCAGTCACAAGGTTTAAAGGTCTTACGGAATCCCATTCATGAAAACATAAGTCCAGCCTGAGTAAGAGCAGTCTCTCTGGTGGCGTCACATTACATGGGTTGTATGGATATTAATAAACTTCCTTCCAACGGCGTGACATAAGCTGACAGACGTGGCTTCCTTACAGATGGCACAGAGGTTACACTCATGACTCCACTGCCACAGCTCATGGTTTACTGAGTTTGAGTGCATCCAATTATCTAAAAGTAGCCTACACGTGCAGCTCTATAGAAAACTAGTGCCGGTAAAACCCTTCACTGCACGGCTGTCTTTCACTTTTGGTTCACATGAAATTACTTTTCCAAGTTTCAAAATATTTCACTTTGGATTGTGAACCAGGTTTCTATTTTGCTCTGGCTCAGAGTTAGGGCTAAAGAAGTGTCAGATCCAGCAAAATCTAATCAGCTGGCCTTTGGCCTCAGGCCTATCTGTCCTGCAAATTCACCCCAAATCCCTTATTAAATATTTAATATATTCACCTGACAGACTAACAGGGAAAAGCTAATTAAAAAAGGTAGACCGCTGACTGTGATAGCAGCCATGGGCAATCTGGTGGAGATATAATGCCAACTCAACAGAGTCCAGGTCAACAGATCCTGCTCCGTGTTACGGTTCTTGCTTGAGTTTAGTTATTCACCCTTCTTTATAGTTCCTTATAAAGATGGGAGCTGGAGTTGAACAAAAATAAGACACTTTATACCAACAAATTAAAAAATACCATTGTAGAATTTGAATATGTGCAATGTTTTTAGTGAATAAAATCTATTATAGTGCTCTGTTTTTTCTGTAAATCCTGTACAGACTGTTTCATTATTTAATTTTATTTTAAAAAATATTATATTATGATTTGATTCTGTCTAAATATTCAGTGATTTTGTAATTTGTGTGAATATATTTTAAAAAAAGATTATAGTTGAAGTATCAGTTCACTGTGCCTGTGTTAAACGTACTGACACAACTTTTCCGGACAATATTCTGGATGAAGCTTAAAAGAATGTGCATCTCTCCTGCAGGGCTATGGTCCACCATAGATTTAGCAGAGTAAAGTAACACTCCAGTGTCTCAGGGACCCCTTGCTTCCATCATAAAGGAGAGAAATCCTCTGTTCATAAAGAAACAAACTCACTTTGGTGTGCTTAGTGGTCGGCCCTGAGAGGTCCTGACAGGCTCTGACTCTTTCAGCTGAAGGAAAATGTCAAATTTACAGTAACTTCACAACATATGTCATTTATATGAAGCGCTGGAACACGTCGTTGTTAAGTGGAACAACAGTGTTAAAAGGTATCTTACTAGCAGGTGGGAGATCACCATGGGCACCCCTTGCTGTGTCCATACTGAGTATCTTGTAAATGCCATCTGCATGTGTCACAGTTATACTTACCTCCCACTACTTCATCAAGGCTGGTGCTGGCATCTGGTGTCACTGCCATGTCAGTGCTGAGTCACAGCACCACCACAATCCTTGAAGCCGCTGCAAGCCTGGTGTTTATTCTGACCTACTCATTTAGAATACAGATAATCAATTTTTCAGTGAGCTGATGCTGTCCACACACACACACTCCCACTCTCTCTCTCGCACACACACTGTTCATCAGGTGCTGATATCGTGCTGTCACTCATCAGAGCTGGAGATGAAACTCTACTCATGTAGCCTGGATAACCTTGACCCACAAAGGGGTTGGCTTTTAAAATTTGAATTTTGAAAGCTGAGAGAGACTTTAACTCAAAACCATCATCTCACGAGCTTTTCTGAGCTTTGCTTGCCTGCACACAGATGTATTTCACTCAGTGGTGGCAGATAGCAGTCAACCCCACGTAATGCAGCGGCTTCATCTTCACCTCTGTGACCTCATCCTTTAAGATGTTTTATCCCAGGCCACAATGAGGGACTTTCAGGATGTAAAGTCCTACTTTTCTGTATCGTTAGAAAAAAAAAGAGCCATTGAGACACTCAGGGCACGTTTCATTTTCTTTTCTTAGTTCAGTGGTTCAGCCACTTGGACCCCGAGCTGCATAACACATTCACAACAATCGGCAAGCCCCCCCCCCCTCAACAGCCCAAATAGGAGCGCCTAAAAATAAGCAGCATGCCACAACTGTTGCGCTGCCTAATGTCTGACCAATCACTGGCCCATCTTCCCCGTAAACCGACTCCCGTTATCCGCGTGGATTAGCAAATAGACTATGATCACAGACGCTGGGTGACGTGGCCCGGGGGGTCCTTTATAAACCCATCTCTCTCCTCACCCGACTTTCAAGTTAAAACAGAGAGAACTGTTAACGGTGCTGTTCCAGCTCACCTGCCACGAAACTTGAAAAAGCGACATTCTTTCCCCCCGTGGGCCATATTAAAAGGGACGACTTATCAGGAGGGTGCCAATTAAAAAACAAAACAGACGACCAGCTGTCTTGCACGTTGTGATTCGGATCATTTAATCCATCACTGACACCAGAGGCTTCTTCGCAAGTACATCCGAAAAATCTCTAAGCTGCTTTTTTTTCTTTGTAACTCATCCGAGTTTGAACTTTCCTCCGCGAGAGCGCGCTTGCCACCGAGCCGCTAAAGTTTTTTTCTTTATTTCCGCACAATTCAACACGCAAGTGTCACCGAGGTATAAAAGTGGACGCGGAAAAAGCCATCATGATGAGCACCAACTACGGCGACGACCAGCTGCCCCCGCAGTACTACCAGGCCACTGATTTCGGGGAAGAGGAGGACGACGAGATGCCCGCCACGGAGAAGGACTTGGCCGAGGACGCGCCGTGGAAGAAGATCCAGCAGAACACCTTCACCAGGTGGTGCAACGAGCACCTCAAGTGCGTTAACAAGACCGTCACCGACTTGCAGAAGGATTTTAGTGATGGGCTGAAGCTCATTTCGCTCTTGGAAGTTTTGAGCCAGAAGAAAATGTACAGAAAGCATCACAACAGACCCAACTTCCGTCAGATGAAACTGGAAAATGTTTCTGTGGCACTAGAGTTCCTGGACAGAGAGCATATCAAACTGGTCTCAATAGGTAAGCCAGCCTCGGGCTCTATTAGCTGTTTGGAAAGTTCACTGTTATCATAAAACCTTAACAGGCCACTATTACTTAGGAACAAGTTATGAAAAAGAGAAATTTATGTAGCCTAGATCCTAAAACATACAGAGGACCATGGCAAGCACACTCTCTTTTGGTATGTTATCAGGCCAGGTGTCAGTTAGCAATAACATGGCTTTTGCAGGCCCCTTGAAGGCAGTGCTGAGAGAGGTCACCAGCTCACTGGAAAATTATTGTGGAGCTGCCACTGAGGTCATTAACTTGTGCCAGGGCCAAAACCCAGCGCCTCCACACTGCTGCTTTTGCTTACTCGCACTGCAGCAGTGTGGTAAATTACGAGCTGGAAATTCAGTAGGACTGCGCTAATGAGAATTACACACTTTATACATGCGGACAGCAGCCACACACACGGACACACAGGCAGTTGTCTCCGTCAGGTCAGGGGTCAGAAAGAACTCACCGAGGCTCTCTACTGATAGCCAATTTCTATCCAGAGCCATCAGCAACGTATGTGAGGGGAGGATTAACTCTGGTGGGATTTGAGGATCAGACAGTGGTGCAAAGAGCTGAAGATACAATAAATTGTTGTGGATTTGTGGATGTTTTTGTCACGTCGACAGGGTCATAATAGGAAGACTTTTCTCCAGCAGAGTGAACAGAAAGCCACCTCTTAAAGATATTTAACAAACAGGGAGGAGAATTTTAGATCTAAATGAAAAGTAAGATGACATATGGCTTCACCATAGTGACTGTAGACAACCCTGCGTTTTATAAATGAGAGTATTTATTACATTTCTGTGCTCTGGTGTCTAATGATCCTTGCCACACACTTGAGTGAAATTCCTGACATATCTGGAGCTTTGGCCGTTGGACTGTTAAGGCCACAGCGTGTCCAAATGAAAGAGCACTGCGGGTGTGCGTGATGACACCGGGGGAAAACACTCATCTCTCAAATCTCATTGAGTTCTGTTCATCACAGGGAAGAACAGGCCACAATCACAGGCATTACCTCAAAGTCTAGCAGAGTACATGTCCTGGATATTGTGTCTAGGAGTTAATATGGTGGTGTGTGTCTGGCACAGTTGTCGCAGCTGTACAGACACACTTTAGGTCAGACTGCTTTGACAGAAACAGGGCGTGATAATAAAAGCCCTGGCATTTTGCTTCCTAGCACCATCTCCCTTCATGCAGCGCTATGGGGTTACTGCAGCCGCCTCGAGATGATGTCTCAGCCTCATTACAGTGACCCAGAGACACAGAGAAAAATATAAAATAACATAAAAAAACAAATCACCTCGGGCTTAGATGCTCATGTGTCACCATGTGTTACTAGATGCCATTTGATGGCTGTCTCTTTGACCACGCTGGTGCCGGACACAGCGGGATCAAAACCACACTGTGCCACATTGTGCCACCTGCTTCTGTCAGTCAGACAGCGACACATCAAACACTGCCTTCTGACAGGGGGTGAGGAGGAGGGGGGGTGCAGATCTATGAAAAGTTAAAAGAGTCTCAATAAAACGCTCTTGTGATAAACAACTGGCATCAAAGGCGCCTCGTTATTAAAGCCTCGGTGAATTAAGTGGGGTGTATCAAATGAGATTAGTCGATTACACATTAAAGTCCTGCCTCTCGTCGGAGGTTATTTGGCTTAAATGGCTGAAGTTCGAAAATTAGAGTGGATGTTATCGGGAGCTATTTGACAAACTTTTCCGTCATGAACTTCAGGAAATGAGCCGCACGCTAACTGTCAATGAATCTAATCTCCATCTATTTGATTTATCGCACTCTCGCGCAACAAGTTCAGGAGGTAATTGAAATCCAAGTGGTATTTATGCAGAGAGGGATCCGTTTCCACATATCCTCAGCT